TAAAATCCCTGTAAAACAGTATGGTGTGTGCTAGCACTTGTACAAGACAGCAAGTCTATCATAGTTTGTCAAGTCTGTCATAGAAAAATCAGAAATAATTTTAGATACATATGGAACTACAGTATAAAATAAAGGTAGCAAATCAAATCACTAGGGCAACAATGTAGTCTTAAATGATCCTGGGACAACTGGTTAGCCATTTGGGAAAAGATAAAATTGAGCTATATCTCACACCTATTCAAGAATAAACTGCAAATGATCCAGGATCTAAATATAAACTGAGCTCCTACAAATGTTAGGAGAACACTAGGCGAATTTCTCTTTAGCTGCTGTGTATGTATGTGTGTGTGTGTGTGTGTGTGTGTGTGTGTGTAAGGTTTCTAAGAATAACTCAAAAATCCAGATTCATTAAAATAAATTTTTTTAAAAAAATTGATAAATTTGATTAAATTAAAACCAAAAACACTAAGATTATTTGTATGATATTTATTTGGTGATATCACCATAAACAAAGTTAAAATGCAACCAACACATTTAATGAAAATATTTGTATCATATATTACAGATAAAAGGCCAGTATACTAGTAGATAAATAACATAAAAATTTAGGGGAAGCCCCATATGGTGGCACACACCTGTAATCCCAGTGTCTCGAGAAGCTGAGACAAGAGGATTGCAAGTTCAAAGCCAGCTTTAGCAATTTATCAAGGCCCTAAGCAACTCAGCAAGACCCTGTCTCTAAATAAAATATAAAATAGGGCTGAGAATGTGGCTCAGTAGTTGAGTGCCCCAGAGTTCCATCCCTGGAACCAAAAGAAAGAAAGAAAAAAATGAAGGGAAATTTTAAAAATCCAATAGAAAAATTGACAAAAGAACAGGAAATTCAAATAAATATGTATGAAAAAATAATATATATGAAAATGAAAAAAATTTCAACCTCATTTATAAGAGTAATGTCAATTTATTTTTTTAATATTTATTTTTTAGTTATAGGTGGACACAATATCTTTATTTTATAATTTATGTGCCTCAAGCATGCTAGATGAGCACTTTACCTCTGAGCCCCAGCCCCAGCCCCAGAAATGTCAATTTAAACTACACTAAATATCACTTCTCATCCATCACATTGGCAAATTTAAAAAATATGTAATAGTATACTCTGATGGTGAGGTGTTAGATAAACAAGCATCTTATACATTGCTGGGATCATGAATTAGGACCACCCTTACAGGGGGGGAGATTTGGCAGTATTTAAGAAAGCTACACAAACATTTACCTTTTTAACTGGCAATCTCATTTCTACAAATTTATGCTGAAGATATACTTCCAACAATGAAAAGATAGATTGCACAAGTTTCATTATTGAAGCATTGTTTGCAATTGCAGAATATTTTAAACAACCTAAATGCTGTACATGTAAGAGAATTTAAATGAAATATGGTACAATTGCTGCTATGGTTTAGATATGAGGTATACCACTAACACTCACGTGTGAAACAATGCAAGAATTTTCAGAGGTGAAATGATTAGATTATGAGAGGTGTAACCTAATCTGTGGATTAATTCACTGATGGATTAACTGGGCAGTAAATGTAGGCAAGTAGGGTGTGTCTGGAGGAAGTAAGTCACTGGGGGTGTGACTTTGGGGTTTATATTTTGTCCCTGGTGAGTAGAGCTCTCTCTGCTTCCTGGTTGTCTTGTCCTGAGCTGCTTCCTCAAGTCACACCCTTCCAACTTAATGTACAGTTCCACCTTAGGCCTAGAGCTACAGACTGAACAGCTGAAACAGTCAGCCAGCTACAGACTAAACAGCTGAAACTGTGAGCCAGAACAAACTTTTCCTCCTTTCAATTTTTCTTGTCAGGTGTTTTGGCCACAACGACGAAAAACTTACTAAAACAGTTGCACAATGGACCACTCTTAAGTTGTAAAGAATAAGGAAGTGGGCTAGGGGTATAACTCAGTGATACAGCTCCTGTGTGAGGTCCTGGGTTCTATCCCCTGTATGAGAGAGAGAGAGAGAGAGAGAGAGAGAGAGAGAGAGAGAGAGAGAGAGAGAATGAGAAAGACCTGTATGAAATGGTATGAATTGGTATGATGATCCAGAATTTATTTTGATGTTTATTTATTTTGGGGGGGGATTCTCTTGAGTTTTTAATATGTATTCTGTATACATGCAATTTTGATGTTTAAAAAATGGAAAATATTACCTACTACATTGTTGTGTAAGAAAAAAGAAAAATAAGAAAATACACATATATCCACTTATTTGAGTAAAAAAAGAAATACAAGCAAAATAAGCTATATACTGAGATATGATACCTATAGGGAATGTCAGGAAATGGATGAAAAGCAAAGGAAATAGGGGTGAGAGAAAAACTTTTCTGAATATAACTTTTTTGTACAGTCTAGATTTTGTAATCATGTTAGTGTTTTACATATTCAAAAAAAAGAGAAATAAAATCAACAAGAAAAGGGAAGATTTTGATACATAAAAAGCCCAAATGAATCAAACTACTTATCAAATGAATAACATAACCATACTGAAGGATCATTAGGGAAAGAACCCAAGTAATATTTGAACATAAGATTAGGACTCAATGCCCCCAGGTTACAAAACAACCCTAAACAAATAGCAAACTATAATCAGAAACCTTTCTTTTCACAGCAGCATAAATTAGTACTTCTGAACTACTTCATGCACATTTTAGGACTGAGCAAATAGGAAAATGTCCTGTGAAAAAATGGTTGCCAGTTTTCTCATTCTCCGAGAAGAAAGCTGTAAATATGAAAGGAAGGGCAAAATAAATCCTACACATAGAATATCTATGAATAGCTTCATAGATAATATTAAAATAAATGGAGATGTAGAAAGGTGTGTATGTGACTAAAATATTCAACAAGAACTTTTTAGAGGAGGAAAAGTTTATTTGGGACTCATAGCTTCGAGGTTTAGTCCATAGTCAGCCAACTCCATTACTCTGGGCCCAAAGTGAGCTACAAAATCATGAAGGAAGGACATGGCAGAGGAAAGCTGTTCCACTCATGGTGGCCAGGAAGCAGGGAGAGCTAGAAGAAGGGGCATAGAGAAGATGAACTCTTCCAGGGCATGCCTCTAGGGACCCACCTCCTCCAGCCATGACCCATCTGCTTATCTCCCAGTTAGTCCATTCAAACTAGGATGGACTGCTTATGTTACACCCCTCACAATCCAACAATTTCACCCCTGAATGTTCCTTCATTAACACAGGAGTGTTTGGGGAAGTCCTCAGATCCAAACCATAACAATGGACGTGTGTGTAGACTGGCCACGTAATGCTACCTCCTCTATTTCATTCCATCAGTGTATTTTTCTGCTTCTATTCCTACTGCACTCCTTTTATGAATTATCTTTGATGTTTTTGTTTCATTATTCCATGATATTTTACCATTTATCAATTTTCATAAAAAGTCTGGTTAAGAATCTGATTTAAGGGCTGGGGTTGTGGCTCAGATGTAAAGCGCTTGCCTAGCACGTGTGAGGCCCTGGGTTTGATCCTCAGCACCACATAAAAATAAACAAATAAAATAAAGGTATTGTGTCCAACTACAACACACAAAAAATATTAAAAATAATCTGATCTTAAAATAGATTAATATAATGACTAATACAGGCAAACTGACAAAATTGACATCTTTTTTCAGGTAATCTCCACACATTTCTTGGCTTTATTTTTTGCCATTTTATATTTTCAGTGCTATTATTAATAGTATTTTAGTTTCAATTTTCAAATATTTGATGCTAGTATATAAAAGTATATTTGTACATAAGAGGAAAGTTTTTCACTTACATGCTATCTTGACCAAATGAGTGGAGTTTGATAGTAATCCTTGCTACGTGTAAGGGGACGGGGAGGAGAAGTGGAAGAAGGAAAAGAAGGGGATGAAGGAGAAGGAGGAGGAGGAAGAGGGAGAAAATATTGTATTGTACACCCATGCTAAATTCACTCATTAGTTCTAGGAGCTTTTTCTGTAGGTTCCATGAGATTTTTAAACTCAATCACATCATCTGCAAGTAAAGGTAGTTTATTCCTTTCATTTCAATCTATATGAGTTTTTCTTACCTTATTGCATTGACTAGAGCTTCTATTACATTGCCAAGTAGAAGTGGTGGGAATGGACACACTCAGTTTCTGATCTTAGGGGAAAACATTCAGTTTTTCAACACTAAATGCTTTTTTTTTTTTTTTTTTTTTGGTAGATATCCTCTACTGGTCTGAGAAATTTTCATGCACTCCTGATTTCCTGAGAATTTTTATCATGAGAGAATGCTGAATTTTGTCAAATGCATCTATTGAGACAAACACATGGTTTTTCAGTATGTTTAATTATATCAATTGATTTTTTCAAATGGTAAACCAATCTTGAAATCCTGGGACAAAATCCACTTAGTCATGATAATATCCCTTTTGTGGATTTTTAAATTTGATTTGCTAGGATTTTGTTAAGAAATCTTGCATGTTTATAAAAGATATTAGTTTGCACTTTTCTTCAAAGGTCTTTGTTATCAAAATAATACTTTCTTCATAGAGTAATTTCAGGGGGTGGATTTTGTGTAGTTTTTTCATAGCATTCACTTGCTGTCTTTTTAATAACTGTAGAATTTGTAGTAATATCACCTCTCTCATTCCCAATATTGGTAATTTGTGTTGCTCTTCTCAAAGAACCAGATTTTAGTTTCATTGATTTTCTGTATTATTTTACCTCATTGATTTCCTGCTTTGATTTTCATTACCTCTTCTCTTTAATTTGCTTTCTCTTTCATTTGATCTTTTTCTGGTGTCTTAAAATGGAAGTAGAGGCTACTGATTGGAGTTTTTCTCTTCTGGTATAGTTTAATGGTATACCCTGGCATACTTTTCTATAAATGCTGTGATGGTTGCATTCCTCAAATTTTGCTGTTGATTTTTGTTCTGGTTTTGTGATGGTTGGTTAGAAGCAGCCACAAGACAGAGGAGACGTTCAGGTAAACAAAAGTTTATTATATTCAGAAGTCCTAGAAACCAGTGGCATGTAACATCATGAGCCACATAGGGAAGATACACGGTGGTCAGTCTGTAGAAACTGGAGTAAGAGGAAAGTCCAAGAGTTTTTCTTAGAGTTTTCTTGGGAAAGACAAGATATTTCAGGGTAAACATTTTACGATTGGCTAGTATGAATAATTTTGTTGGGCTCTAAACTACAGTGGTGGTCCCTAGGTGTCTGGCACCTGGCACTAGTATGACTAAGAGGAATATTGCTTCCTGAAGTGTGTGGATCAGACAGAAGTGTGGCTCTGCTAATGTCTGGCCTGCTATGGCTAGGTCTTCACTATCTCAAAGTAAGATGTCAACACATAAAATACAGAAAAAAATACAAACAATACAGTTTTCATTTTCACTCAATTCAAAATATTAATTTCCTGTTTTGATTCTTTCTTTAGAACTGTATTATTTTCCTTATTAGGGGTTTCCAGAAAAACAGAACCAATGGAGTACATACAGAAAGACATTTATAATGAGGAACTGGCTCATGTGATTACGGAGGCTGAGAAGTCCCCACAATCCGCCATCTGCAAGCAGAAAAGCCAGTGGGTAGTTGCATTCCACGTCTGAAGGATCAAAAACAAAGAGAACAAATTATGTGAAGTCCCAGTAGGAGTGTGAAGGCCCAATGCCAGGAAGCTGATAATGGAAGCCCCAGCCAAGCCAAGAGGCAACTCCATCCTTCCTCTCTCTTTCTGTTCTTTCTGATTTGTTGAATCATGCCCATCAACATTGGCGGGGAGATCTTCTCTATTTACTCTGTCAATTCAAATGCTGATCTCTTCTAAAAACACCCTCACAGACACACCAAGAAATAATGTTCTACCAGACATCTGGTCACCCCTTAGCCTAGTGAACACATAAAATTAACCATCACATTTTCCAAATATTTAGGGGGTTCCCGGAGATGATTCTTTATTTTTAATTGGATTCCACTGTGGTCACAGAACATAACTTGTATGACTTAAATCCTTTTAAATTTATTGGGACTTATAAATGGTCTGAAATTGATTCTATCTTTTCAAATGGTCTGGGTCATTGAAAAAATTCTTATTCTTCTATTATTGGTGGAGTATTCTACAATGTTCAAATCTTTAAAATATTTACTGATTTTGGTCTACTTATTCTAGCAATCTAAAAACTCCTAGAACTAACAAGTGAATTTAGCATGGTTGCAGAATATGGTATTGAGAAATAAAAAATCAACTGTTTCTATACTAGCAACAAACATTTGGAAATTTAGAGAATATAAAGGAGCTTGTGCCAGATGTGGTGGCACATACCTGTAATCTCAGGGGCTCAGGAGGCCAAGGCAGGAGGATCGTGAGTTCAAAGCCAGGCTCAGCAATTGGCAAGGCGCTAAATAACTCAGTAAGACCCTGTCTCTAAATAAAAATACAAAATAGGGCCGAGGATGTGGCTCAGTGGCTGAGTGCTCTTGAGTTCAATCCCTGGTACCCCCCACCAAAAGGAGCTTGTTCCATAGTAGATGAATAAAAACAAATTAGGACTTGGTAAACTATTTTGAAAGGATTACTGCAAGGGGGGACCATTTCATAGGGACTTATGTCTGTCTAAAGAGTTAGGCAAAATGGATTTACTTATAGGGAGGAAGAAACAAGTTGAAAGAGGGTTAGAGTCAGGCATGGTTGTACAAGCCTGTAGGCAGAAAGTTTGAAGCCAGCCTCAATGACTTAGCAAGATCTTATCTCAAATTTTTAAAAAGGGATGTAGCTCAGTGATAGAATGGCCCTGGTTTTGATTCCCAGTACCACAAAAATAAAAGAAAAAGGGTGACAGGTAATTAGGGTGACAAACTGGGTGGCACTGTCAGATCACATAATGATTTATTCTGAAGTCAAGTCTATTTTCAGGAGGCAGAAGGTGGGTCAAAATTCGGGGGTTTGAGGAAAGAAGAGAATCTCCACCAAAATTTGGTTTTGATCTAATTAATCAGTGGGGGAAGACAAGAACTTTTATCATCTATGAAGCCAAGAATGGGAAATCAGAAGGCCTGTGTCTAGCCTTATCTCAAGGTAAAAAAAGGGGGATGCCTGTGAGTCTTACATACAAGGAAGGGTGATTCTTTGCAGTAAGTTTTTTTCCAGAATTAAGGGGAGCAATTGGGCTGGGGTTGTGGCTCAGTTGGTAGAGTGCTTGTATGTGTGGAGCACTGGGTTGCATCCTCAGCCTCACACAAATAAATAAAATAAATTAAAAAAAGAAATTGTGTCTATCTACAATTAAAAAAAAAAAAAAAAACAGCAATTCCTTTAAATGTTCCTCCTTTGTTTGTGTGATGCAGGGGATTGAACCCAGGGCCTGTACATGCTAGACAAGTGCTCTATACTAAGCTACACCCCCATCCCTACTTTCAAGGATCAGAGGGCTCAGGTAAAAATCATCATCATAAGTCAAGAAGTCAGCAGTCAAGAAATCCATGAGCACAAGAACAAGAAATGGGAAAATACAGAATGTATGTGGTAATGTTTTGAATATTTCAAGTACAAGGCATGACAGACGAGATTGAAGATAATGGGTTTTAATCAAGTTTGAACATCTAGTTGCCAGCACACCAGGGCTGCCCGGCAAGCCCATAGGGCTCGGCATGCCTGCCTGTACACAGAACTGTGTCTAGCTGCCCATGGCCTTCTCTCCTTGCATGTGGGGGCTACTGCCATCTCCTGGGATTCGCACGGACAGTCCTACCTGCCTGGCAACACCAATGCCTGACCTGACTCTGAGAATGTGCTTGTTTCCAAAGATCAGCTCCTGAAGTGGAATGTGGAGAAGGCAGCCCTAGCTTCAAAGTCCCCTAATGTCAGACACTGTCTCCTCCCTGGGCAGGGCCTGTGGCTGCTTTACAGAGCACAGTTTAGGTGTGCTGGCGCTGGTAACATAAAAATGGAATGCTGCTGCTGCTATGGCTGAGCTTGCAGGGCCTCCACAGTCACTCTGGAGGCTTTATTTGGTGCAGGCTTCAAAACTTCCCAGGTGTGAACACTATTTACTGTTAGAACAGCTTCCTCCTCCGAATACAAGTTTTCACCTTGTGCATGCCTACCCTACCTTCCACAAAACAATTGTGCTCTGCCTTTCTTGTCCTCAACACATTTTCTTTAACACCAGGAACAAGACAGAAAAGCTCAACAGCTCCTTGATGGAGCCTGGTCATGTAGATAAAGACCATGCCTGTGACAAGGCATAAAAACACTTCTTCAACAAAGAGGATGAATTGTTCCATTTTGTTTATTTAGCTGAGCATCAAGATAAACATCTTTTAAACAGTACAAATTTTTTTTAATATTTATTTTTTTTAGTTGTATTTGAACACAATATCTCTATTGTATTTATTTATGTGGTGCTGAGGACTGAACCGAGGGCCTCTCACGTGTGAGGCGAGTACTCTACCACTGAGCCACAACCCCAGCCCCCAGTACAAATTTTTATATACAGGAATGACCCACTCCCAAACAAGTTTGGGGAAAAAAAAAAAAAAAAAAATCAAAAAATAATCTTGCTTTCTTTTTTAAAACCTGGGTGTCACATGAAGGCAGAACCAAACCTCTGTGTTGATTTTCTTCAATATGGTTAGCAGATACTGAGTTTAGATCAGTTTGACTGGTGCTACAGTAAAGTACATAGACATGGAGAGAAGATATTACACTGAAAAATCCCTTTCCAAAGCTGGGACCAAGCACCCAGTCTTCAACCAAGTAACCTGGGTAGGTATCATTTCCGAAAGCGCTTGAAAAGCGGGTGCACGTGCTTAGTGGAAGCTTTGCTTCGGGATGAGTGGTACTCCATGTACACGGTGTCATCAGCCCCGGACATAGAGCTCATGGTGCCAAAGCGCCGGGATGCCTGCGAGGCAGAGGAGAACCCAAGCTTCAGTTATTCTCCAAGAGAAAAGACTCATTTAATAAATTTATAATCAAATTCAATATATTTTATTATTTTTAAACAATGTTTACTGGTCACTGTGTCTCAGGCATTGTTCTGAGCATTTTACATGTATGACTTCATGTAGTCCTTATAATCATTATAAACTTCATTTTACAGAAAAGGAAATGGAGGCCTAGAGATTGAGTAACTTGTCTAAGATCACACAGCTCCTAAGGAAATGGGACTTGAACACAGGCAATCAGGCTTGAGACTCTTTCTTAATTAGAATGCTACACTGCTTTCCTTAATGACAACTTCAACAGTTTCATTATTTTAACTCTCGCTGAGATTTCACAAAAAACTTTGAATCAAGGAAAAAGCCAAAAGCCCTGGGATTGACTCATGGCCCCACCTTTCACTGGGAGACGTCAGGCAAGTACTGAAAGTCCATGCCTCAATGAACACATCTGTAAAATGGAGATAACCACATCTGCCCTGACGGATGAGGTATAAACAGAAATCACAGAGGTCAGGGGCTTGGCCCAGAGCCCAGCACATCATTGAATCCATGTTACAGGGGAAATATGCAGCCAAGCACTGACTTCAAGGTTAGGGCCTCACCTTAGGGCCAGTGAGAACCACAGAGACCCAGGCTTTCCTGGGTCTCAGTGTAAGCTGCAAACCTCTGGCAGGAGGACGTCTTAAGCTGAAGGAAGGGCAGCACCAGCTCAGATGAGAGGTGCTTCCTTCTTACCTTGTTACAGAAACTCGTCACCTTTTGGCTTTAATACTAATTGAATTTCAACAGCATCTGACTCAATTGCCCTTCTCTCCTTAAAAAGGCCTAAACAATTCTCCATGACAATGCTCTCATTAATCACACCACATTACACTTACCTGGGAACGAAGCAGGCACTCAGTAAATTTAAAAGAACTCTAAATTTTTCAAAATACATGTTGAAGCTACCATACAAACTGATCCTCAGACCCATCTCCCAGAGTAGAAGGCTCAGCTCTATCACTAAGGAGGAAACCAAAAGCAAGCTGACTTGCCCAAGACCAACAACAGGCACTGTCCTGTCACTGCCACCTCACCCTCTGCCCCTACAGACTGAGAGGCAGAGTCTGGAGTCACCTGTTCACCTTCCTGGACTCTAACACCAATATACTAACAAATGCTCCTGCCAGACTGTTAAATGAACAAGCCAAGAGATGAATCACAGCCACTGAGAGTTCAGCCATGTTGGACAACATATATTCAGGAAGGGATGTGCACCACAAGATTAATCGGAGTTGTTTCTATTATTCTCTTCTCCAAGGTTTTTTTTTTTTTTTCCTCCCAAGTTTGTCTCCAAACCCCCCAGCCCCTGCCCCCAAGAATGTGTGCATATGTAAGTGGCCATACTCCAGCCTCACCCACTGGCTCACCTGGCTGGACTTGGAGCCAAACTCTCCTGCCACTACCTCCTCCTCCGCATCCAGGTCAGTGGCCGCCAGGACTTTCTGTAGGAGCTGCTGTTGTTCCTCCTTTGTGGAAAATGCCAACTCTTCTTCCTCCATGCCAGCAAGCTTTGTGATCACCTGCAAATTCAAAAGCAGATGCGTCCCTTTCAGTTATCTTCCCCTTGGCACCACTCAGCCTTCTCCCAAGTCCACTTCTTGTCGCTTCCTTCCCATAGACACAGCCGGCCAGGTGGCCAATGGAGAGGCTCCTCTCTGGTGTTCTAGAGACCAGCTTCAGAGCTGCCTGTAATAGCTACATTAATGACTCCAAGACAGAGATGAAGGAATTACAGAGGAATCTCTGCTCCCAGTGCAGAACATTTAATAATCCCACATAGAAGATCAACGGGAACCCTAGTAACTGTAGTCCCTCAGTAGTCTTCCCATATTGAATCAGGTAAGGAAGGGAAACCAACTAAAGTTGTGCCCTTTGACAAGGATCCTCCACCCTGCTATGCTTGGCACCCAGGGCTTCCAGCAGGAAAGCGCTTAATAATTTCAGGAACTGAGAATTTATTGGAAAGATATTCTCTAAAAAAACAAGATGACAGTATGATGGAAACTGGGTTTTCACATCTATAGGGATAACTTACTATGAGACTTACCTAAACCTGCAGAAAGCCTGGGCTGATTACGTAAAGGTAACCCCTTACCTCCCCCCAACCCACACACACACTCCAATTCTCTGCATAATGTAAAAGGAAAACTTCTAGAAATAAGGATTTGAGTCCTTTAGGTGGCCAGACATCCAGACTACAATCAGTGGGACATATCTGCCCTGGCACAATGGCTCAAGGTCACACAACCCAGGGAACTCTTACTGGCTACTCTGGACAAAGGTAAGTTGGCCAACATAGACATCATGTGTACATGTACCTGCCAGGCTAGCCTTTCAAATAACTCAGAGTTTTCTTTCTGAGTTGGCATTCCTGTTACCCTGAGGTGCTGCAAGGACCAAGAGTTATGAGTGCTACTATCAGCATGGATGAGGGGTTGGGTCACAATGCAAATCTTCTAAAAAATTAGGATCAAAACCCAAGGTGTCCTGTCCTCTAGTCAAGCCTAAGAGGTCTGAAAAGTGTCATTGCCCCTGGTTAAAAGAGAAGCCAGACAATCTTGTCCTCTAAGGCTAAACATGGGAACTCTCCAACACACTAAGAGACACGACTGAAGGCCGGGGGTACAGCTTAGTGATACAGGACATGCTTGGCATGCATGAGGATCTGGGTTTCATCCTTAGCACCAAGAGGAAGAAAAAAGACAACTGAAAATGTATTCAGAAAGGGGGCTATGGTGTTTTGCAAAACAAGAACCTAAGAAACGTGTGTTTTAGCAATGTTCCTGCAGTAGACCACAAGGGGAATTTTTTTTCCCTGCTTCCAGAACCCTCCACCCCCACCCCCAAATAAAACCCTTTGGGACACTAAATCCTAACACAAACTTACAAGTTATGTCAATGGGAAAGAAAGCAAATTACCCCAGCCAATGAAAATTAGCCAAAGCTTTAGTAATTCCCAAGTTATTTAAAGACCCAGTTTATGATACAGATGGTTCCAATATCTGGGAAGATGCTGGGGCTTATCAGCTGAGAAAGTAAAGACAATCCTAGACAACAGGAGCGGCACCAGTCTGAGAAAGGAACCCTAAGAGGCTCACTCTTGTACAGGGCTGGCCACAGCGCCTAGGCACCTCACTGTGGACAAGCTACCACATTTCCCATATTTCCCGCCAACATCGGAATGCTGTCTCCAGTAGTTTGTGCAGAGACAAAGGAGTCTGAGGCAAAGCCTCTAATACCCTAAGGCTCTCTGCCTACCTGAGGTCTGTCTCAGGCTGTGCCCCCACTTCTCCTGGAGGCCAGAATACCAGAAAGGCTTTGGTCATGGTCTAGCCAGAGACCTAGTGGATACATACCTTAAAACTATAACCTTGATCTACCAAGAATCTCTGTCGCTTGGTAGAGTAAGCCATTTCTTGTGTGTCCTGGGATACCAGTGAGTAGAAGAAGGCATTGTACTCCTCTGCAACCATCCCTGCAGGGAGAAGGTGACAGAAAGTAGGGAAGAAGAATGTTAGAATGCCAGGAGCTTTAAGTCCCAGGCTTGGAAGTAAGCACCACAGTGAGAAACTTCTACAGGCAAGGCAGAAAAACTCAGACTTTTCCCCATGGGACTTCATCAAAATTAAAGCCTTTTGTGCCTCTATTGAGCACTATAAGAAACTAAAAAAGAATCCACAAATACCTGCAAAGCACATATCTGATAGGGTACTTGCATCTAAAATATATCAAGAACTACCACAACTCAGTAAGACAGATAAGCCAACTATAAAATGGGCAAAGGAGCTGAACAGACATTTCTCTAAAGACAATACACAAATGGCCAAGGAACAGGGAAATGCAAATCAAAACCACAATGAGAGGACTGAGGTTGTGGCTCAGTGGTAGAGCACTCGCCTAGCACATACGAGGCACTGGGTTCAATCAGCACATGAGAGGCACTGGGTTCAATCCTCAGCACCATATTAAAAAATAAATAAATAAATAAAAGGTATTATGTCCAAATACAACTAAAAAAATTATTTAAAAAAAAAAAAACACAATGAGAGCCAGGCGTGGTAGCACATTCCCTGTAATCCCAGCAGCTTGGGAGGGCTGAGGCAAGAGGATCATAAGTTCAAAGCCAGCCTCAGCAAAAAGCAAGGCGCTAAGGAACTCAGTGAGACCCTGTCTCTAAATAAAATATAAAATAGAGCTGGGGATATAGCTCAGTGGTCAAGTGCCTCTGAATTCAATCCCCAGTACCAAAAATAAAAGCACAGTGAGATGTCATCTCGTCTCCACCAGGATGGTAGAATCAGACAGATAATCACAACTGTTGTCAAGGATATGAAGAAAATGGAGCTTTCATGCACTGTATAGTGGTGCTTTGGAAAAAGTTACTCAAAATGTTAAACACAGTGTTATTACCACATGATCCAGCAATTTCTACTAAGTATATATCCAAGAGAACTGAAAACATCCATACAAAAATTTGTATGTGAATTTCACAGTAGCACTAAGAACCAAATATCAGAAATCACCCAAATGTCCATCAACAGATAAATAAAATATGGTATGTTCATAAGTGGAATATTAATTGGCAACAAAAAGAGAATGAATACTGATACATATGGGTAATCCTTTTTTTTAAATATTTTTTTTCATTGTCAATGGACCTTTATTTTATTTTTTACTTATATGTGGTGCTGAGAATCGAACCCAGTGCCTCACACATGCTAGGCAAGCACTCTGCCACTGAGCTACAACCCCAGCCCCTGAGTAATCCTTTTGAAAACATTACGCTAAGTGAAAGAAGCGAGTCACAGAGGGCCCCAGTGTGATCTTTTAATGAAACATCCAGAATAGGAATATAGAGACAAAAGTAGATTAGTGGTTGCCTAGGGCTGAGGGATTGGGAGCAAGGGAAATGAGGAATGACTGGTAACAGATAAGGGCTTCTTTTTGGGGGTGAAGAGAATATTCTAAGTGTATGTTGTGGTATGGCTGCACAACTTTGTGAATATGCTAAAAAAATCACTGAACTGTTTACTTTAAGAGCATCACAGGTGCTTACACCCCTGATTAAAAACAAGCCAACAAAACAGCAGTTCAGAGAGAAAACCTCTAACCAGGGACAATGAGCACAGAAATCAGGACAGAAAATACTAAGGCCTGAAAGATCTGATTCTTCAGGAAAATCTGAACATTTCTGCTTCACAATTCAAATATCAGGAGGTTAAGAATCTGTATACTGCCTTTGAATTCAATGGTTTCTCTTAGAAGAGCTGACATCCAGGAAAGAGTATACTCCCTAGGCCTCTGGGGTTGGGTGCTAGGATCCCCCACTATTCCAAAGGGCTAGATATCTGTGCCAAAATATTTTGACTGAGAAAATACAATTCTAATCAAATTCAAAGGTGTTTTCAAATTAGCTTTGCTTTTTTTGTATGTGAGAGAAAGAATAAGGAATGAGTTATTTTCACATTTGCTAACAGACTATATTCAGTTAATAAAAGTTTATCAAGCAGCCTACTGTATTCTGTTTTATAGGCTCATTCCGACAACAGTCCAGCAAGACAGCACAATCACCCCCACTTTGGATGGAAAAACCAAGGTTCAGAGGGGCTAATAATGTACGTAAGGTCACACAGCTAATCTGGAGCTCAGTCCATGCTACTTTGACTATCTGCCTTGCTTTCATTTATTATGTAACAACCAGCTGCCTTAAACATTCTTAAATACAATATAATTTCAACTTATGTCCACTAATCTTTCATTTTCAAATATCCTAGTAGTTCAGGTGCTTCCTGGTTTGATAAGAAAGTTCCCTGAGGACAGGGCCTATTTCCTTGTCTCAGGATGTGCCTGGTCCCAGTAGGAAAGAGGCAGCCACATCTCAGCAACATCCGTCCCTGCCATGCCCATGGCTCAGGTCTGGGCCCTTCTGCTGCAGTCAATACACACAGGAAGCCCCCTCACTAAGACAGCTTAGCTGAGAGCACACTCATGTGAACTGTAGGCCACTGCCATGCAAAACACCCCCATGTTCACTCCCATGGTATGAAAAGTGAGGACCATGTGGCTGTTGAACCTTGCTTTGGGATTGCGTCTCTTCAGGGTCTTTCTGGTTCTGGGACAAAGATTGAGGCACTGAACACATTTGTGGTTCATCCCTCCCTTCCTTAACCAAAGTGGTTCCAGAGGAGACTCTTCTCCACCCACAGCAGAGGAGGAAAAGCTGCTGTTACCTTTTTTGGCTCGAAGCACCCGTCCTAGCCTCTGGGCCTCCTGCCGCCTGGAGCCACCATGGGATGAGATCTGAATGAGGACATTGGCTTCTGGAAGATCAAATGATGTGTCACCTACCTATAGAAATGAAGCAGCTGTAAGCTTAGGAAGGTTTTTACATCACACACACACACACACACACACACACACATACACACACACACAATCAACTGGTTCAGAATTTTAAATTTTACTTATTTATCTTTGTATGCTGGGAATGGAGCCCAGGGCCTTGGGCTTGTTAAGCTGTGTTCTACCACTGAGTCACATCCCTAGCCCTGGCTTATAATTTAAATCTGCTCTGTAGATCATTTAAAAAAACACTCTCCTCTCCATACAAAGTCCTTCTGATACAGAGAAAAGTGAAGTGGTGGACCCCACCCTGAAGGGTCTGCCTCTCTAGGACCTTGTAGGTTCTAACAGCACCAAAAAATTACTGCGGCTCAGCAAGGCTCACAGTGCTGCATGCAAAGATAACACAGACTCACATCAATTTTCTTCAGAGAGGTGAAGTACTTTACTGAGGTCATGCAACTCCTAATAAAGAGGAGCTAGTACCCAAATCAATTTTCTTGTTTCTGTGGCTATAGAAATAGGTCAAAATCATCTGATAATCACTGAGACCAGCAGCAGCACCTATGAGACAATGTGGCCTGGGCCGCTGCCCAGCAAGGGGTTCTAATTATGGGCAGGATGTCCAACTTGGGAAGTTGACCACCAAAGGGCCACAGGCAGGGTCTAATGCTCACTTTCCTATCTATGATCACCCTACAGAGAAAATGCACTTCTGGGCTTTAGGTCTGTCTTCATCTGAATGACTTCTAAACCATTAGACCACAGCTTCTAATAGTAGGAAAGAACTTTAGTTCCTTTCCTAGGAAATACAATCTAAAATTCCTACATCCCAAGAAGAGGTAGGAAGAATCTCAGCTAAGTGAAAAGCCTTTATAGATAACACATGAAAATCCTAATGATCCCAGACCCTGGGCACGTAGGAATAAAAATGTACAAGGGAATATCTTTTGATAAACATGAACTGACTGTCCAGGAAAGAGTACACTCCCTAGGCCTCTGGGATTGGGTGCTAGGATCCCCCACTATTCCATGTGCCACACAAACCTTGGATATAAAGATGGTGTTGATTTTGGGGTTGTGCTTGAAATTCTGAAGAATTTGCATCCTTTCTCCCTGGGATGTAGGCCCATAGATATAGGGTCTAAAGAAGAACACAGATGTGTTAGAAAAATCACAGAATCATACTTCAGTTATCCTGAAAACACAGCAGATGGAAAAAATAAGCTTAAGCAAGGTCTTCTCTGAGAGGAAGCCCTAGGTCATGTCCACTGGGATATGAGAAGATCCATGACAACAACTAGCTACAGACCCACCCCTGCCAGCCTCCCCCAAGAGCCCCAGCCCATCCCCCTCTGCTTCTAGGCCCAGGCCCACCATCCTCTTCAAGATTCCCTTTTTGACTTATTTATTTCCTACTATAGTTTTTCCTCCTCTAACATCTGTCACTCTAGGTAAGGATAAGCTTCGATTTCATGAAGCCTAAGAGAAGCAGCAAAGAAACAATTCTACATCCAAACAAAGGCTGAACACAACATTCTCCAATGTCACAAACAACCTCCAAGAAATGAGCAGAAAGTAAAAAAGGGCCTTTCAACCTTTTCCCCACTGCACTCACAGAATACCAAATTCAAAAGTTTCTCTTTAGTTTCTAGCTCCTTGCTCAAGGGCACAAGCCTCTGGGAACCTCACTGGTCATTGCCTATGGCACCTAGGATGGTCATATCCTTGTCTTTTATATGGGAATGTGCTGGTAGTCAGTTTCCACAACTTCCCCCAAACCCTAACAACAGTAATGATGATGATAACAAGCACAAAGAAGACAGGAATAAAGATCCAGGGCCTACTTATGTCAAGCACTGAGCTAGTACTACTTAAAAAAATAAAAATAACTCACTCATCATTGCCAATATCCATCAGAATTAAAAAGGTTAAGGTTCATGTTCCTCAACCTACACAAAAGGTTCAGGGCCAGAGCTGGGTGAGATGGTGCATATCTATAATCCCAGCAGCTAAGGAGGCTGACGCAGGAGAACTGAAAGTTCAAAGCCAGCCTTAGCAACTTAGTGAGGCATGAAGCAATTTAGCAAGACCCTGTCTCTAAATAAAATACAAAAAAGGGCTGGGGTTGTGGTTCAGTTGTTGAGTGCCCTAGGTTCATTCCCTGAGTGCCCTGGGTTCATTCCCTGGTATCAAAAAGAAAAGAAATGAAAAAACAGGAGCCCAAGGGAATGGAGCCCAGATGTGGCTATCTCATGGCCAGGCCCAATGGTGTCCAGGACAGTGCCTGGTAAGGACACAGGATGCACTGCTTTTGCAACTCTGTGCAGTGCTACTCAATACCCAACAATACATTACAAGATGATCTCAGATGTACCTGAGAACAAACCCCTCAGCCACACAGAGGCTGGGCAGAACCTGGGTCAGCTGCACACCCAGGCTGACTACCACAGGATAACCTAGACATAAGCTGCCTCACCTGACATAGAGAGTATCAGGGTACCACACAATCCATCATTTTCTATGTGTCATGGAAAAAAGCTTGGGAAGCCACAAACCTGTCTTGCTGAAAGTGGTGGCACAAGCATGTAGTTCTAGCGACCTACCCATGGGGATGAGGCAGGAGGACTGCAAGTTTGAGGCCAGCTTCAGCAACTTAGTGAGACCCTGTCTCAGAATAAAAAGGACTGGAGATGTAGCTCAGTGCTCCTGGATTCAATCCCCAGCACCCCTCAAAATAAATAAATAAATAAATAAATTTAAAATAATTTTTAAAAAAAGAAGTTTGTCTCCTGACACCCAGATTTTTAGGGGGTTCTTTTACTATTCCTCCACCACCATGAAAAAACTTCTCACACAATGGTGAGTTCCTCAGTATCTGAAGGTTTCCCCCATACAGGAACTGGAACACCTAAAGGGTAACCACCCTCCAGGAAAAGAACCAAACATTTGGAGAACCCTTGTGAGATGCCAGGCATTAGAATTCCCTGTGGTAGCTCCAAGTGACCAAGAAATAAAAGGAGGATCAGAGAGGTGAAGTACTTTACTGAGGTCATGCAACTCCTATAAAGAGGAGCTAGTACCAAATCAAAGTGTGTCTCCACAGATGATACTCCACATTATCTCACACTGCATATACCCTCAACAGTGTCTCCTGCAACTGTGTGGTGACCCCATTCCTTTCTTTAAAGCTGGAAGAACCCCCTTTACCACCACTGGACACATCAGGTTTGTCCATCGTAAGTTAAGAATGAATTCGCAGAATCATTTCAAAATCAAGAAAACAGGACAAACAAAGAACGTTTTGACTTTTTTTTTTTTTTTTTTTTTTGGTAGCAGGCCATTAAACCCAGGGGCACTTAACCACCAAGTCACCCCCCAGCCCCTTTTTTTGGTGGTGGTGGTGGGGTAATAAGGATTGAACTCAGGGGCACTTGACCACTGAGCCACATCCCCAGCCCTATTTGGTTTCTTATTTATAGACAGGTCTCACTGAGCTGCTTAGCGCCTCACCAGTTGCTAAGGCTGGCTTTGAACTCTGTGATCCTCCTGTCTCAGCCTCCCAAGCGACTGGGATTATAGGTGTATACCACTGTGCCTGACCCCTTTCTACATTTAAAAGCCAGATATTAAAAAAAATTTTAAAAAGAGTTATTAGCAAAATTTGTAATTATTCCATTACACATGAGAGAGCCACAGTTGGCTACTTCTCCCTCTGTCAGGCTGGTTTAGCACTGTCAGCACCAGCTCCAGGCAAACTAACATCTCTGCCCACAGGCTCAAATGGCTGCAGTCACAAGCAAGCCTTGGGTGTTTCAAAGTAGGTGTGGGGAGGCCACTTGAGGAAGTCTCCAGATGAGCACTGAGGGGGGTAGAGGAACATACTTATTAAATATGACATAGTAAACAGAAGCACTGTCCTGCTGCTGCTCTTGAACTGACACTAATTTGACAGTAAAGGGCTAAAAGGACAAAAACCTACAACAAGAACAGAAGAAATAACAGCAGATGAGAGCAGTAGGTAACATCTTGGAAGCTGAAAAGCAGACGGATGCTGGTACCGTGACTGAGCTAACAGATTAGGGAAAGCAGAAGCTGGGCTGGCAGGAGGGAAAGTCAACAGAGAACAAGCCAATTTTCTGTGCAAAACACAGAAGAGTTCAAGAACTGGTGCCCACTTGTGCTGGAAGGTGAGGTGGCAAGCAGGATGGCAGACAGCAGGCCTGGGAGTATGGATAAGGAGCAGAGACTCAGCCCCACAGCAGGCTTCAGGCGAAGCCTTCCTTTCCAGGATCTGAAAAAGGAAGGTTTATACTCAGGACATCAGCAGAGTTGAGGGCAAAAGCGAGACAGAAACTGAAGCATGAAGGTTAAAGCATCTCCTCAAGGCTAAGACTTCACAACCCCATTTCCTCTGTTCCCACACACTGGTACCCAGGGGATGGAAAATTTCCTTCCAGAGAAAAGATTAGACCCCAAGAAAAGACCTAGAGATACTGACTTATATCTTATCAATCTCTGGATAAAACAGCCAGGTGCCTGTCTGATCATTCTGTAGGAAGGTCCATATCCACTAAGACATACAGAATGGCTTGTCACCTTTTTAGTGACTGACTCTCAAATAAGAAAATGCAGCCACAGATTACAAAACTCTGAAAAAAGAAGTTAAAAGAATCAAAGCAAAAAAGAGAGACAGTGCAAGAAAACAGAAGGAAGCTTCAAAAGCTTTCATAGCCCGAAATAAGAAGACATTATACTCAAGCAACAAGGAAAAAAAAAAAAGTTATTAGCAAAATTTTTAATTCTCATTCCATTACACATGAGAGAGCCACAGTTGGATACCTCTGTTATTAAAAGTTATTAATAGGGCTGGGGATGTGGCTCAAGTGGTGGCGCACTCGCCTGGCATGCACGGCGCCTGGCATGCACGGGGCGCTGGGTTCGATCCTCAGCACCACATAAAAATAAAATACAGATGTTGTGTCCACCGAAAACTAAAAAAAAAAAAAAATTCTCTCTCTTTTTTTAAAAAAAGTTATTAATAAAGAACTCTTGTGGGCTGGGGTTATGGCTCAGAGGTAGAGCGCTCGCCTAGTATGCGTGAGGCACTGGGTTCTATCCTCTGCGCTACATAAAAATAAAATAAAGGTATTGTGTCCACCTACAATTAAAAAATAAATACTTGGAAAAAAAAAAAAAAGGCAACTCTTGTTACCAAACACAGTAGTGCACAATTATAATACCAGTGACTCAGAAGACTGTGGCGAGTCTCTGCAACTTAGCAAGACACTACCTCAAAATAAAAAATAAAAAGGACTAGGGATATAGGACCCTGGGTTCAATCCCCAGTACAAACAAACAAACAAAAAAACCTCTCAGAAATTAACAAAAGTTCCAATAGATGTGTTAGAAGACAAAGGGATAAAAATACGAGGAAAAAGATATGAAAATGGGTGAAGTGGTTCAGAAGATCTAACATCTGACCAATAGGGATTCTAAAAACAGAAAACAAAGAGATGATGATTAGCAAAGAAAAGGAGAAAAAACTCTCAGAACTGAAGGACACAAGTTTCCATACTGAAAGGGCCTAATGAATGTCCATTACAATGAAAGAAAAAATACTGAACTAGGCATAGAAATTTTGAAATTTAAAGAGAGAAAAAAAGAGAGGGAAAGATCATCCTATCTAATAGAAGAAGGAAACACAAATACCACAACAGACTGCAAACAGAGGAACTAGATGGCACCAGACTCCTGAGCAGCCACACTAGAAGCTTCAATGTAAATAAATACCAAGGACCAGCCAAACTACTGAAGGAGTTGAGTAAAGTCATATACAAGCACTCTAAGTCTTAAAAACCTCAAGAATCTAATGGAGCATTTGCTCCAACAAAATAAGTGACTAAGAAAGAGGAGACCTGAGACTAGGACATAGAGGTTCAACACAATTAAAAAGGTGAGGCCCAGGGTTATGTCCAAGGGAAGCCCAAGATGACAGCTGCTGGTATCCCTAGTCCTAGGTAACAAGCAAGTCAGAACAGAGGCGGAAGAGGAATAATGAATCTGACCAGGTAAAGAGAAAAACCAGAACTTAGAGATTACCTGACACTATTGAGAGGGAGCTTCTGGTTATATGAAAAGTCTGGAGAAGAGTAAGTAATCAAGTGTATGGAAAACTACACAAAAGCAACAACTAAACAAATAAAACATAATCATAGTACATTTACATATCTCCATCTGAACAATACTTATACAGTCAAAACGACACAGCACTGAATTTTAATTTAATCCCAAACTTGTGCCATTACCGTATTGGGAGCATGGTAGGAGAGAAAACAAAGAGGTGGGGTAGAAAGTGGTGTTTATAAAAAAACTACACCCTCAACTCCTGTAGTAGGAAGGTAGTAGGCAATTCCTGCCATTGATAATCCAGAAACTGCTGCATAAACTACTTAGAAATAAGAAGGTAAATGAAGGGAAAAAAATAAAGATTCAAAGTAGCTGCCTTCAGAGAACAAGGTAGAAACAGAGGTACAGAGAAATATTTTTTCATAATAATCTAAATGTTAACTTGGATAAAAATAAATACCTTTTCTAAATCTAGAAAAAGTACAATTTTAGAAACTTGAGAAATCTTAATTTTTCTATGCCTATTTTCCAATCCATACAATAATACCTCATATGGCTGAGGTAAGGATTGAATCATACATAGATACAGGACTCCTAGCACACAGCTTTATAGGAAGAAACTGGTCTATATTCATTCTTCTCTATCCACCACTACAAAAAAATAAGGACCTGTCTCCAAAGAGAACCTCGTCCTTTTGTGGCTGGAAGAAACACAGGCCTCCTCTTTCTTACTTGGCAGGAATTTTGCCATGGCAAGGATGTTAAGTGTAGGTGTGGGTTGTGATTTGGTGAGGATGTTCAGGGAGCAGTTCCCAAAAAGTTCTGGTTCAGATACTAATCCACACCTAGAATGCTGACCCAGCCCATCCTGCCTTCCTTCTTTGCCCCTGAACCATACAGTCTGGCCTTAACTTCCACCTACAGTGCTCACTTGGCCTGAAACTCCAGACACCAATTCCCATGCACACTTGGAGTCTAGATCTGAGATAGTGCCCACCCAGCACTGCACAACTCTGTGGCCCCTATTCTCTGAGGTCAGGGTAAACAAGCTCCACCTTCCTATATGTTCTAACCTCCAACTCTGACCACCTGCTTCTCTGTCTTGCCTGGCTCCTGGGACCAGAGGCAGAGAACCAGACCTACAGATCCCAAGAAATAGGCACCTTTGCTCCTCTCAGTGGGGAAGATAAACTGGTCTGGAAGAAACTCCAAGGTTTCAATTCTTACTTGTTCAGTCGAATGGCATATTCCTTCAAGGCAAACACGTTGTCAGCAAAGACAATAATCTTGTCGTTCCTCCTTTCATGAAACTTGATCAGAAACTGGCAAGCTCTGAACTTGTTGGGGTTCATGGTGTACAGCAAGATTCGTTTCTTAGTTTTGATTGCCACATATTCCCGGTAAAACTCAGGAGACATTGGGCACCAAACCTGGATGCAATAAGAAAAAGAGTCCGGCTAGGGATGTGGCTCTAGTGGTAATGCGCTTGCCTGGCATGCGCGGGGCGCTGGGTTCGATCCTCAGCACCACATAAAAATAAAATAAAGATGTTGTGTCCACTGAAAACGAAAAAATAAATATTAAAAAATTCTCTCTCAAAAAAAAAAAGAAAAAGGGTCATTTTGCAAGTTCAGACATCACATGATTGGAGACTCTGAAGCTCCTTTCATGTAGCAGAATTAGCTTTAAAATTCTTCAAAACAAAGCCAATGGTTATGAATTTTATCTCAAAACAGCAGTCCTCCCTTATGGTGGTTTTGGTTACCCATGGTCAATGGGAGACTGAAAATATTAAATGGAAAATTTCAGAAATAAACAATCCAGAAACTTTAACTTGCACACTGGTTCTGAGAAGCATAGTGAAATCTCACATGGACCTGTTCTACTCTGCCTAGGATGTGAATATCCTTTCCCCAGCCTATCCACACTGTGTAACTACCTGTTTGTTAATCATCTGGTAGACATTTCAGTTATCAGATTGACTGTCCCAATATCTCATTGTTTGTGTAAGTAATCCTTATTTTACTTAATAATGGCCTAAAGCACAAAAGTAGTGATGCTAACAATTTGGATGTGTCAAAGAGAAGCATGTAAAAAAGGTAAAAGTTCTCAATTTACTGGGAAAGAAAAAAAAATCACATGCTGATGTTTCTAAGAGCTGTGTTAAGTTCAAACCTTTTATCTGTGAAATTGTAAAGGCGAAGAAATTATTGTTGGTTTTGCTGTTACACCTTACACACTGTAAAATTTTCTGCCACAGTACATTAAGTGCTTAGCAAAGATGGAAAATGCATGAGGTTACAGGATTTGGTACTATATGAGGTTTCTGGCATCCACTGGGGGTCTTAGAAAAAATCTCCCAGGGATAAGGGGGAACTACTGTATAGCTATAAATATATTCACAAAATTAAACAAAATCTAATACGTAATGTTAAACTGGCACACTCTCATGTTCATCATGTAACAAAGATTTTTAAACACTATCATACCCAGGGAAATATTTTCATGCTATGTGCAAGTGAGGGAAACCAGATTTCTAACCATTGATGCTAGGAACCTCTCCACTTAGACCGCACCTCACACACAGTCAGCAATGCTCCTGAGAACTCCTCCCTTGCCCCACACCCTAGCAGGGCCAGGAGCACTTTAGTTAGACTCTCAGGGGTATGAGTACAAAACGCTCTGCCGCCAAGCTACCATATCCTGTCATGGTATCAGGGGCTTTCATTAATCCTTGTGCCTGCACCCTAAATCTCACTCAAAACTCCATAGCTGGCAAGTTCAGAGGCTGATAAAAAATAATACTAATTTCAAATTCATGTGTTTGACAGAATAAGAAATAAAGCTCCCACAGCCAGTGCCACTTCTATACAATCATGACAGACCAATTCTTTATGATGCCAGCCCTGCAGAATTAGTGGACAACATTATTAGCCAAACACCAAGTGGAGCTCAAATTCCACAGGTGCTGCTGATTTCCCTCTGGGCCACATCCTACCTGTGACTCTATGAGTTTCTATTTTTTATAGCCAATTCAGTTCTTTTTCACAGTGTAATCTTTAAAATTCTACATTTCACAAATCATGAAACACAAATGGCTCATGATATGTCATTAATAAAGAGGAAAATATAAATTCAAACCATAAAGGGATACCACTTCACACTTAACAGGTTAGCAAAAATCAAAAGAAAAAAATCACTATTCGGTGTTAAAGGAGATGTGAAGTATCAATCACTACTGATTACTGCAACACCCACTTTGGGAAACAGCTGAGCATATTATGGTTTGGATCTGATCTCATGTGTTGAGGGCTTGGTCCCCAGTACAGCAATATTCAGAGGTGGAGCTTTGGGGAAGTGATTGAATTATGAGGACTCTGACCTTATCAGTGGATTGATTAATCTACTCATTACTTAAGTGTAGGTACTGGTGGAAACTATAAGCAAGAAACAATTTATTAGGAAAAATAAAGCCAATGGTTGTCAATGGAGGAGCATGGTTGGAGGAAGTAGGTCACTGGGGACGTGTCCTTTTTTCTCTCCTTGTCTCTCCTCCTATTCTCTCTTTATCTCTGTCTCTGTCTTCTTCCAGGTACCAAGATTTTATTAGCTTCCTTCTACCATATCCTTCTGCCATTTTCTTCCTCACCTTAGGTCTACAACAATGGAACTGGTTGATCATGGACTTAAACTTCTGAAACTATGAACCAAAATAAATCTTTCTCCTTCAAGTTGTGTCTGGTATCTGGTCTCGGCAAGGAAAAGCTGACTAACACAATAATATACTGAACATTCAGAAACTTTCAGCCCAGAACATTCCTTCAAAGTATGTCGTTCAGGAAGGGGTCCACTATAAGGTCATAGTCCACACTGTGAATAGAGAAATTCTTACAGAGGGCACTAGGAAATATCCAAAAAAAAAAAAAAAAAAAAAAAAGCAGCAACATTGTCAAATGGCAAAAAAAAATCTAACCTCCAAATTTATAGACAGAAAATAATCCAGTGGTTGCCCAGCACTGGGAGTAGGAGTTAGAGATAAACTCCAAAAAGACACAAGGGGATTTTGTGAGGTGTTGGGATTTTTCTTAAAGTGGATTGTGAGGATAGGTACACAGCTCTTTACATTACTAACATCATAGAATTGTACACTAACAATGTATGAATTTTACTGGTGTATAAATTAAAACCCAAAAAAGCTGATAAAAGAACAACTTAGCAACTCAAATATCTATCCATGTTAAAAAAAAAAACAAACTTTTTTTATTGCTGTGTAGTATTCTGTTATATATCAAACTGTGGTATATCTGTATAATGGAATACTATACAGTGATTCAAAGGAATGAACTACAGATATGTGCACCATCAAAAAGGAATAAAGAATCATGTGAAGAATAAAAATGCTGAGAAAGACAAAAGTCACAGAGAAACATAATAACCCAATTCCACTGACATAATTTTTTAAATTAAATCAGGCAAACATATATTGAGGGAAATATATGTAGAAGGTAAAGTAATAAACGAAAGCAAGACAATAACAAATACAAGCTTCATGATAGAGGTCGGCACTGACAGATAGAAAGGAAATGAAAGTGGGAGGAACAGAAGGCCTTGAAGGTCCCAGCACCTGTTCTTAGATGGTGGCGATTCCATAGACACAACTAAAGGGTGAGGATTTTTTCAACACAGCAAGAATCTTCACAGGTTACTCACACTTACCTTTATCCAGGAGACCACTTCTCACACTTTCAGGACAGAGACCACCCTACTCTACCACTGAGCGACAGTCATTTTAAAGTACCAGAAAGGGGTTTTTTGGTTGTTGTTCCTTCTAAAAATATTTAGCTTTGAACATGAATTTTTAACACATACCTATGCAAGTACTCATTAGAGAAAAATATTGGGAAAATGTGCTTTTAGAAATAAAAAATTATTAAGGCCACAATCTGTCTTCTTGGGGTTTTGACATTGGGAGTGGCCTTGATGGACCCCTCAGGGAAAAGGCAGGCAGAACACTTTAGGGACTCAGTCAGAAAAGGAGGATGCTCATGGAGTATAGACCCAGTGGCCTGCATTAGTATCCTGACTTTACCAATTACTGACCATGTGACTCAGGACAAGGGATCCTGCTGCATTCATTTGTGAAATGGGTTAACATGCCCACCCCACAGGGTGAATGAGGGTATGGGAATAGGTAGCAGCAGTTTAGCCCAAGTCCTGACCTATGTATCTGCCATGAGGAATCAACCTGATCATGTCCCCCTGCCCACAAAAGGGGTCCTTCCCTCAGACACCCACCCAACCAGGCCCAGCTACCTCAGCACACTGGACTTTGGCGATGTAGCCACTGTTCTGCAGCTCCATCCAGTTGGCTTCATAGAGCTTGGGCCCAATCAGAAAATTTAAGTCCACAATTTTGTCATCTTCCCGGACAAGGGTTGCAGTCAAACCCAGCTTACAGTGGGCCTGCACGATGGTGAGCACCCTTCGGAACATCTTAGCTGGGGGAACAAGGAAAACATTCACACGATCACTTTCTAAACTGCTTAATTACCACATGCAGCTTTATGATGACTTAGCACCAGCCTTTGACACCACAGGGGCTAATTTGAAACCTCAGGAGCCTGGCTCTAAATAAAAATGACAAGGTAAGGGTTGGGGTTGTGGCTCAGTGGTGGAATGCTCACCTACCATCCATGAGGTACTGGGTTCAATCCTCAGCACCACATAAAAATAAAAAATAAAGACATTGTGTCCACCTAAAACTAAAACATAAATATTAAAAAAAAAATGACAAGAATACTTCGACAACACTTGAAGACCTGTTTAAAAGATGAAATTGAGAACAAGGAAAAAATGATTTCAAGAAGGCTCCAAGTTAGCAAACTCCAGCAATCTCCTGATAGTAGCTAAGTTATCAGGAGTGCAATGTGAAAAGTAATCTTAGAATACCAGTAAGTTCTGACTTGCACAAAAATATTGCTCATCCTAGAACTTGTACTCAGGTGGCAGCTGGGGATCTGAAGGGAGAAAAGAACAAAAGGAATCAACTCTGATCAGCTTCCCACCATCTTCCCAGAAACCAGGGAGAAAACATAGCCTAAGACAGCAATGAAACCCCAGGCATCATTCTGCCCCAAGCATCAAGCACCTAGGGGTGACTGGGGCAGAAACTCCCCTTTCCAGACACCACCAATCAGATTCACTTTGGTCAACTAATAACTTATTTGTTCTTCCTTTGTTCTAAATGTTATAATTCTTTCTCATCTATCAAACTCAAAAAGGGTATAGGGTATTCATTTTAAAAGACTCAATTTATAAGTCTTCATGGGCTCAACTTTTAAAAATTCTAGACAGAAGGTTGAATTGAGTTGTGCTTATGATACAACATAATTAAAGGTAGGGCTAGTGACATTTCAGAAATAAGTAAAAACAATAATCAGAGGGAAAAGACCAGAATGCACCAAAACACAATTGGAAAACAAGAATAGTGAAATAACACGGTTGTCTAACTCGAAGTTTTTGTTTCACACGCTGAAGCTTAACATGGTGATCTTTTTACATGCAAGTCAACTTGGTCACCCTCTGCTCCATCCCTCACATGGCTTTCCACGTATTCGGGATGCAAGCCAAAGTCCCTGCTGTGGCCTGACACCTCCATCTTGCCCTATCCTTGACTACCACTCTCTTCTTCCTCTAGTTGCACTGCCACCTTGTGTTGTCTGAACATGCCAAGTAACTTCTTACCACAGGGCCTGTGCCCTGATGCTTGCACCCCAAAGACATCTGGATCACTACCTGGTCTGCTGTGAACAGACCAAGTAGGGATCTTCAGACATCCACAGATGCTGGAGGAGCTTTCACTACACAAAAAGAACCAGATGCTTTGAACAATGTTCAAAAAGCAAAAAGAACAATGTTTTGAATGCTCTATGTATGCTTCACATTTCACTTTATTAGAATAATCTCAACTTTGGACTTATTTCTCAGGGCTCCCTGAAATCTGTTTTATGAAGAAAGGTTTAACTAGCCAGGCATGGTGGCGCAAACCATTTGCCCCCGCTAATGAGAGACTGAGGTCTTGGATCACTTAAGCCCAGGAGTTCAACACATGCGTGGGCAATGTAGTGAAATTCCATTTCAAATAAAGAGAAAGGTTTGCCTAGAAGACTATGCACAATAAAAGGAACAGACTCTCCAAAATGTTGTTACATGGAAGAACCATTATGCAAAGTACAAGAAGTCAGACACAAAAAATATATCATGTATGATTCTGTTTATATGAAAATTTCCAGAAAAGGCAAATCCATAGAGACGGAAAGCAGTTCAGTGGTTGCCTGAGGCTAGAGAAGAAAATAGGAATTGACTACAGATGGCTAGAGCTTCTATTAGATATTAACTAGGGACAAATATTAAGTCTTCAAATAAATCACAAAACTATTACAAGGGCTAAGCAGGGCTCCTGGTCCAGTTTCACAGGACCATAAAAATGGGTAAAGGGTGAAGTGAGTTGCAACAATAAGAAAGACGAAGAGGGGGCTGGGGTTGTGGCTCAGTGATAGAGCACTTGCCTAGCTTGTGCGAGGTGCTGGCTCAATCCTCAGCAACACATAAAAATACATAAACTAGAGGTATTGTGTCCATTCACAACTAAAAAAAGAAAGAAAAAGATGAAGAAAAGAAGAAAATATTACTTTCTAGATGAGTACCCTGAGTCAGTGATTAAGAAAGCTATGAAGGTACACACCCCTGCATCCAGTCCCACCTACCCATGCTTAAGAATTAGTTAAAAGCCAGCCAGCAAGTCTCCCTCATCATCTGCATGGACAAACACAGGAGGTTCTCCCCCAACCCAACAACTGAAAATTAATCTTTGTCTTTACAATGAGCAGCAGACAGCTCAGCTTCAGCCTGCTTACCTGGAATAGTGTGCACTTCATCCAGGATCATGAGGCCCCATTCCTGTGTTTTAAGCCACTCCATGACTCGCTCAGCCTCCCAGGACCTCTTGGTAGTGTGGCCCAGCATGGAGTACGTGCTAATGGCAATGGAGCAGCCTATGGGCTTGTCCTTGGCATCAGAGGTGAAGCGGCAGATCTGGCTGTCATCAATGGTGGACCACATCTTGAACTGGGCTTTCCACTGCTCCACAGACACAGCAGAGTTGCCCAGCACCAGACAGCGCTTTCTGACAGTGCACGCAGCAGTCACACCAACCAGGGACTTCCCAGCACCTATAAGAAATCAAGGGATAATCCTACCAAAAGCCAGGTTGAAATGAAGGACAGGGATGATCAGGGACTCTTTAGCACAGGAATCTAGGCAAAATTTTTATAGTGGTCCTCACAGCAGACATTTGTGAGGCATGTACTGCTCCAGCTTGCTTTCCTCTTTAAAAAGAGACATGCCCACTTTACACATGAGTAAAATCAGTGGGTGCTGGGCCCTTCTCTAGAACCTTACACAGAACCCCTTTAAATAGTGAAACCTTAAAACCAAACATTGAGAAGAAATATTTCTGTTAGCACTATTTTAAAGAAAGGAAAACTAGATGGAGAAGTACCTTGCCGGTGGCCTTAAGATACTGGTACTAGGAACAGTGCACCTAGCATACATCCTGCAAAGGAAGGACTCGGCAAATGACAGCTATTAATTATTATACAGAAAACAGGGCTTAAGGATGCATTTAAAGGGCTGGGGTTGTGGCTCATTGGTAGAGTGCTTGCCTAGCACGCATGAGGCACTGGGTTCAATCCTCAGCACCACATATAAAAATAAAGGGAGGTTGGGGATGTGGCTCAGTGATAGGGCGCTCACCTACCATGTGCAGGGCGCTGGGTTCTATCCTCAGCACCACATTAAAAAATAAAATAAAGGTATTGTGTCCAACTACAACTAAAAAATACTTTTAAAAACCATGTGTTTAAAGTGTACACAATACTAGAAAAGACAGAGAAGGTGAGTTTACTATCATCCACCACCCAAAGAACAAGATAAAAATCAATATTCCTTTCAACACAAATTCTTCCTTTACCATCAAAATAACCTATGAAGTTAAAAAAAAAAAAAGATGGAAACTAAAGGCAGAGACCCATGTCTTAGGGACTTTGTGGGGGTGGGGAGTAGTCCCCAAAGGAGTCGTGTGGCCTCTGGTTAAGAACCTAGTAGGATAGGACTTTTTTTTTTTTTTAATTTGTTCTGATTAGTTGTGCATGGGGACTTGACATTCTTAAGGATAAGTGAGGTTGGTCAGGTGCCAATGTTGCTGCTGCTGCTGACTTTTCTCAGCCTTGCACACCATCAAAAGCCCTTCAGGAACAAACAAATCCATGCATCATTAGCCTGATTTTGCAGAATAGAAACCTAACTCTCTTGTACACAGAATGCCTACCAGCACTATCTCACCCCATACCTGCTCTGGTTTTCTTCATGTCCTCTACCATTGCCTGAGATTTAATACGTTGCTTAATTGATCTGTTTATTATCAGTCTGTACCCCAGATGAAGGAGCTCCATAGCCCTAGGGCTTAAGCAAGGAGCCACACACAGTAAGCATTCAATAAATATTTGCCAAGTCATGTATAGGGAAGTACCTAACCTCAGCTGTCCCTTGGAAAGGTATGACTTAGGAAAATCTGCCAAGGGAGAGTGGGAGGCAGCCGGCAGGTCCAGAGAGAAGCCTGGCCAACTTCCTCATTCAGGTTCCACTCACCGCAAGGAAGAACAATGACTCCCGATCGTGCACGTCCATTCCCAAACATCTTCCGCAGGCTCTTCTCCTGATAGGGCCTGAGGACAGCTGTGGGTTTCAGGTCAATGTTTATATCAGGGTTGACAGAATCATTCCGGAAGTCATATTCTGCTAACAGAGGGTACTCCAGGTGTATACAACGTTTCTGGAGCTCCTCAATCATTTCCTGAGGAGTCAGTATGAAGGAGGTTTTATTATCTTGTTAACTCCAAAAGTATGTTAAAAAACAACACATATTCCATTGAATCCAATGTTCAGAAAATGGCATTTTATCCAAAAGAATATATTTCACATCTTGCTTGCTAACAATTAAGTTAAAGGACAAAAAGCAATCCAAACTAGTAACACTGGCAAAACGAACTCTAATCAGAATCAAATGGATTCTCAGCAACTGTTTCTCATATCTCTTCAGATTTGCTTGTGAAAGTCTCTGTGAACTTGTGGGGACCAGCCTTCTAGCCTGAGGAAGAATAACATGATGGCCCACAGACACAAAAATGGGAATACAACTAAGGAACAGAAAGGAATCTCTTTCTCTCACACATATTACAGAGGAAGTTAGCGCAGGGCTGGACACATTTACTGGAGAAGCAAGGAGTGTACATTCACTAACCTGTTTGACTTCAAAGGATACTGTCTGTGTCTCTTCTTCTTCTTCTTCATCCTTGTCCATTTGCTCATAAAAGTCAAACAAGTCCGTAGGGATGTCAGATTTACCCTGTGGATCTGTCACCCGGGAAGTAGAAGGCCCACTGCCACTATCTGCCATCTTAGAAATCTGCTAAGAGAAAGGCAGGTTTCTGGACTTGCACAAAACATTTGACCCTGACATAATCAAACAAGAAATAAAGTTGCAAAGGGGGAGTAAAAGGCTGGGCTGCTAGATTGCCAGTGCTAGAGTAAAGGAGAGAGCTGAAATCCCAAACATCCAGACCCTAGGTAACCCAGGAGCCCACGCACGCACGGCAGATTTGCTTGTGAAAGTCTCTGTGATGAGTTCAGTGGCCTCCCCCTCAGCATTCCTCAGGCGGCATTCGCGGATCACTGGATCTTGAAGAAGATGCTGGATGACATCGGGGTGGGAGCTTTCAACAAAGTACCTACAAGCAGGAAAGGAAGGAGGTGCCTACTGACCACTTCCTCATTTCCAAAAGACTATGCTAATCACTTGATTCAATGGTCTGGAAATAGTGGCCTCATAATGACTTTCCTTACTCTTTTGCTCCCCCTACAACTCTCTGCCAAATCACAGCTTGGCTCTGACAAAACATGAGAGTTGGGGGCAAATCCCTACTTTGAAGTCAAGTCAGCCAGGGGTCTGAGCCCTAGCTCCCTTACTAGTGGAAACACAGTGGCCAGCAAATGAATTTCCCACATGGGCCACATCTCTTTGTTCTTTTTATCTGTGCTTCAGGGGAGTGAGATGTTTGCACAGAGCAGACAGCCCATGCACATTAGCTCCTGCCCACAGCCCTTCCTCCTATCTAGTGCATGGAGGATGACAGTGCCTTGGGATGGGCCTATCAAAGAATCTCTTACCTGTTGTGTTTTAGGACCAGCTTGACTTTCCCATAGCTGACAGTACACAACTGCAAGTAGACACAACACCCAACAGGCAAAATTAGCAATGAGCAGCTCATTCAGAAACATTCTCTACTGGTCAATCTTACCATCTTCCAACCAAGTGAACAGCTGGGTTTACTTTAGCAAAACCCATTGTATGATCCTAAAACAGATAAGCCTAAACAGAACTTCTTTCACTGGCTTCTGATTTTTGACAAAACTTCCTCCTGCCTAGCTAATTCTCAGCCACATCTCTTAATTTATAAAACACTGCTTAAACTCCCCTTTTTGTGTTTCCCATTTTACTTTCTTCTCCATGCCAACAGCCCCCATCCTAATCCAGAGGTTTATCCTATCACAACAATGTTACTATAGCTCCTAGCATACAAGTGTGCATGGAGTATACACTTAGTAATTACTTAGTAATAACTAATAACTTGCTGCATAAAGAAAATATAAAACCACCTAGCCTTCCCATCAATGTTCCTATTTCTTCAACTAGAATTAAGGGAATACAGCTTAAATCCTCCCAGCTTCCCAACAACCTTCAGGAAGGAATCCAGCAGAGATTATGTGGTGGCCATAAAAATCTTCCACTCAGACCTTGGGCTGCTGCCTACCCCTGCTGCCCCTCTGATCCACCACTGCATTGCCCCAGGGACCAATACAGGACATTTCCAAAAAGTCCTCTCTCTAGACACCTTGCAAGAAAAAAGAACTCTCTCCAGAGTTCCTGCCAGCTTCCCCGGGAGTGGATGCCTAATGGCCTCTTCTGCCACTCCAGAATTGGAATCTGAATCAAATTCCCATTAGATCAGGCAAAGATAATGAAAGTCACCATTCGTCTCTTTTGAATAGCATTCATCCATGTTCAAATGCTGCTCAAACATTACTTCAATATTTGAAGTTCTTTTTTACTATCCCTAATAGAACTCATTGACTCTGAGTCTCATGCAAGTATTTACCCTTAAATGGAGTTTGGCAACTGTATCAGTCAGTTCAGGCTGCCATAACAAAATACCACAGAGTGGGTGTCTTAAACAACATTTTATTTTCTTCGAGTTCTGGAGGCTAGAAATTCATAATCAAGGTACCTGCTGATTCAATTTCTGGTGAGGGTTTTATTCCTGGTTTATAGACTGCCACCTTCTTATTGTGCAATACAACAGGGAGGCAGATAGAGCTCTCTAGTGTCTCCTAATAAGGATACTAATCCTATTGGATCAGAGCCACACTCTTAGGTCTTCATTTGGTTGAAACAAATATAATTATAGGCCTCAGGATTTGAACATATAAATTTTGGGGGACACAATATATTCCACCACATCACCCATTTTGGGCTGCTTTCCCAAATAACCCTGGCTAGTATATGTCTGAATTACTACCCCCACTGTGTTAGTACAACACTGGGTCCACAGGAATAGCAATGGGTTATTATTATGCTTCCCACAAAAGATACAAATGGCACATTTTCATGGCTATCATAGAATGATAATCAGTAGCATCTAGCCCCATTATTACCACACTGTCAAGGCAGGCAGAAATGCTAGCCTCAGCCCCGACTTGCCTTAATAAACTGAATAATTCCATCAGGGACTCCAGTCTTGCTGAGCTTCCTGAGGTACTCAGTGATGTCACTGGTTTGCAGCCCAACACTGACAGCTGCATACAGGGAGTAGGCAGTTAGCTTGTATTCATGTACATGGGTTGGTCGGCACACAGGCTCTGCAATAGCCACCAGGAAGTCTTGGGCATATTTGTAAACTGGAGAGAAAGCTTCCAAGAAGATGTGGCCATCAGGAGCCTGAGAAACACAAAATCAACACAACAGACAAGAAAACTAATGAGATGCAAAAACTCAAGACTCTTTCCCATACTGTTATCAAGAAAGGATAAGCCATCTGACACCAGGGATACTTGTGCAACCAGTACTTCAGAGAACTGTAGGTACTGTTACTTTAACCAGATACAGAAGAGCAGGGGAAAACAGAAGAAGAGGTTTCCCAAATTGTATCTGTTTCCCACTGTTCTGCAGAGGAAAATCTTCCCCACATTACTGGCTATCCTCAAGCTACTTTTTGGCTAGATTTCAACTGAGTATAGAACATTAATTATTTTAATGTTGCGCAAAAGCTGGCTACTAAAAAATTATGAAATAAATTGTTAACAGAATAAATGCTATTTATTAGGCCAGTAAAGTACTTTCCAATATGTAGTAGGTAGAACTAGGGAAGGAGTGGAAGTGAAAGGGTTAGAGATGAAGAAAGCCCAAGCATGTTTGGCTGACCTATGTGTGACCAGCTGTTCAAACAGCTGGTTGCCTCTCCCAGCTGGTTCCGAGAGGCTGTATCCGACATTTTGGGGTCTAAGAATGTCCAAGATTTAGCTGCCACTCTAGACCTTTGGGCCCTGCCTGACAGAAGGCATGCTTACCACCCAGAGGGGTCTGGAGGTGTGGTCATCCTTCAGTGGCATCTGCAGCCTATAGTCCTTGGCTCCGTATTCATCCACTTTGGTCCCGGCCTCATCCACCTGCTTCCCGGCCGCCGAGGGGACTGCCTCCTGAGAGTCGTTTCCAGGGGTGTCGTCTTCATCTTCCTCTTCATCCTCATAGTGCCGCTTCTTGGACTTCTTCTTGTCTGCGGATACCGACACAGAAGTGAGCCCAGCGGGAATCTCAGTTCACTATGCACTACAAGCAGGAACCTGGAAGCAGCTTCATTCCACGGGTGCCTCCATCTCCTAAGCAAGAGCCATCTGAACCCCGCAGGCGTCGAGTCCCTCAACCTCCTCCCACCCACAGCTGCTGGTAGGGCTGCTGCGCCCAGGTCCCGCATCTCCCCAGCCCGGCGGTCCGCGGGACAAGGTGTACGCGTGGGCTCGGCCGCAGCCAATACACCCCGGGCAGCTCTGACACCGAGCGGTGAGGGCGGGCCGACAGGAACAGAAAAGACACACCGCGCCCGTGCCTCCTCTCACCGCGGTCCGCCCGGTCTCTTTTGCCCATGGCAGCGACGTTAACAGCCCTTGGACACCCCCAGCGCCGACCGCTCACCGTGGCGTCTTCTTTCAGAGGAACTTCCGGCCCACAACGGAAACTTAGCACCACTCACAGGAAGTCCCGCCTTTGGTCTCAGGTCAGGGAAGGGAAGGGTTGGAGAGGTGTAACGGGTTTCGGTCACGTGTTGCGGACGACCTCTAGTCCGGAAGTGAGGTGATTGTCGAGCGCCGGTGTCTTCGGGCAGCTCGCCATTGTCGCTGGGGTAGAACATTGAACAAATTAAAGGCCTTGTCCTAGAATTTAAGTTCCAAAGGAGCCTTGAACGAATAAATATGGTGCGAAGTGCTCTGAGGTAAAATAATACGGCCCAGAATAATGGGCAGGTGCCATTCTAGAGTGGTCCTAGGATACCCCTCCTAAGTGGAGTTATGTGAGCTGCAAAAATGATGGACCTAGGGAAAGGTGTAGATTTGGAGGGTGGTCTTAACGTATTATATATGAGGCAGCTGTATTAGTTTGCTCAATTTATTCATAACAAATACTACAGACTACATCACTTAAACAGAAATTTATTTTCTCACTGTTCTGGAGGATAAGGTCCAATCTGATTGGGTTCCTGGTGAGGGCCTGATTATTGGCTGGCAGAAAGCCACTTTCTCCCTGTGTCCTTTTGACATCTCTTTACTTGTAAAGACACTAGTCCTATTAGATTAGCCCCACCATTACTACCTCTTTTCAACCCGCATTATTCTTTACAGGCCCTATTTTCAAATACAGTCATAGTGAGGGCTAGGCCTTTGATACATGAATTTTGGAGAAGATGCTGTTCCCATAGCAGTGGCCTATTAAACAATTGTCAAGAACAATATTATATATGATTCTGAAGTTCTGGATAGCATTATAAATTTGGGAATTGTCAACATATCTGGTATTAAAGCTATAGAACTGGTTGCAGTTACCTAGGGAGTGAATGAATGTAGGTAGAGGCCCAAGGACTGAGGACCTTTCATAGTGAAGAGGTTGCAAAAATAGCATGGTACTGGTACCAAAACAGGAAGGTATACCACTGGTACAGAATAGAGGACACAGAGACCAATCCACAAAATTACAACTACCTTATATTAGACAAAGGTGCCAAAAGCATGCAATGGAGAAAGGATAGCATCTTCAACAAATGGTGCTGGGAGAACTGGAAATCCACATGCAACAAAATGAAGTTGAATCCCTCTCTCTCACCTTGCACAAAAGTTAACTCAAAATGGATCAAGGAGCTAGGAATCAAACCAGAAACTCTGCGTCTAATAGAAGAAAAAGTTGGCCCTAATCTCCATCTCGTGGGGTCGGGCTCCAAATTCCTTAATAGGACACCGATAGCACAAGAGTTAAAATCAAGAATCAATAATTGGGACGTATTCAAACTAAAAAGTTCTTTCTCAGCAAGAGAAACAATAAGAGAGGTAAATAGGGAGCCTACATCCTGGGAACAAATATTTACCCCTCACACTTCAGATAGAGCCCTAATATCCAGAGTATACAAAGAACTCAAAAAATTAAACAACAAGAAAATAAATAACCCAATCAACAAATGGGCCAAGGATCTGAACAGACACTTCTCAGAGGAGGCTATACAATCAATCAACAAATACATGAAAAAATGCTCACCATCTCTAGCAATCAGAGAAATGCAAATTAAAACCACTCTAAGATACCATCTCACTCCAGTAAGAATGGCAGCCATTATGAAGTCAAGCAATAACAAGTGCTGGCGAGGATGTGGGGAAAAGGGTACACTTGTACATTGCTGGTGGGACTGCAAATTGGTTCAGCCAATTTGGAAAGCAGTATGGAGATTCCTTGGAAAGCTGGGAATGGAACCACCATTTGACCCAGCTATTCCCCTTCTTAGACTATACCCAAAAGACCTAAAAAGAGCATACAACAGGGACACAGCTACATCAATGTTCATAGCAGCACAATTCACAATAGCTAGACTGTGGAACCAACCCAGATGTCCTTCAACAGATGAATGGATAAAAAAAATGTGGCATTTATACACAATGGAATATTACTCAGCACTAAAAAATAACAAAATTATGGCATTTGCAGGGAAATGGATGCATTAGAGCAGATTGTGCTAAGTGAAGCTAGCCAATCCCTAAAAAACAAATGCAGAATGTCTTCTTTGATATAAGGGGGGGCTACTCAAAACAAAGCAGGGAGGAAGAGCATGAGAAGAAGATTACCATTAAATAGGGATGAGAGGTGCATGGGAATGGGAGAGAGAAGGGGAATTGCATGTAAGATGGTAGAAGACCCTCATGGTTATGCAAAATTACATATAAGATGGTGTGAGGGGGAAGATAAAAGAGAGAGAAACGTGTCACAGTAGATTGGGTAGAAAGAGGTGATGGGAGGGGAGGAGAGGGGAGTGGGGATAAGAAGGGCAGCACAATACAATAGACACTAATATGGCCCTATGTATAAACATGGCTGTATAACCAATGTGATCCTGCAATCTGTACACGTGGAAAAATAAGATTATGTACCCCATTTGGATCAAATGTACGATATGTCAAGATCATTGTAATGTTTTGAGCAACTAATAAAAAAATTAAAAAAAAAAAAAGGAGTCTTGGGTAACACCACCCGAAGGGCAATCAGAAGATGGTAAAATTAGGAGGCCTGGAAGTGCTCATTTCATTTCAAAGTGGAGGAAGGAATGGACTATGTCAAATGCTACTGATCAACAGATTAGATTAAAAGATTAGATTGAAGATTGAGACTCAGCAATAGATTTGCAATGTAGAGATCAGTTCTCTGCTGAATGACTTTAGTACATTGAAGATTTGCTGTTGGCCCATGGTCTAAGTGAATTTCACTGAAGAGGTGGAAGAACCACACTTTTTAAACTGGCTTTTATGTTGATAGTGGTGGCACACATGCCTGAAATCCCAGCTACTTGGGAGGCTGAGACAGGAGGACTTGCAAATTTGACATCAGCCTTACCAATTTTGCAAGACCCCGTCTGAAAAGATTAAAAAAGAAAGTCTGGGAATGTTGTTCAACAGTAGAATACCCCTGGGTTTAATCCCCAGTTCTTAAAAAAAAACCCAAAAACCTAATAAGTGAAACTGACTTTTATATTTTCATGTTTTACATTTGTTTAAAGTAAAAAATCTTGAAAATTGGTAGAAAGTATAGCAAAGGCTACTTAAACCACACACAACACTACCCTCTAGCTGTCTACTTAAGGGATGGGAGGAGGGGTGAGGGTGGAGGACCCTGGGCTTTCTTTGCAATTGCTAGTTAAGCACCCTATCACTGAGCTATATTCCCAGACTTTTTTTCTGTGAGTAGTTTTCTCTCTCTCTTTTGTTTGTATGTGTAGGTGTCTTTATACCATGAAAATATTACTTGTCCAAGTAATATTGTGAGCTACAAAAATGATGTACCATATTGACATATGGTGATTTTATATCCTCTTTTGTTTTATTCACTTCTTAAAGTGAGTGTTTAATAACAATTTAATATTTCATTGCATGACAATATCATAATTTACTTAGCCAGACCCTAGTTGGGGGCATTGGGATAGTACCTGTTTACCCAGTTATGAGTAGCTCTATGATGAATATCTTCAGATACAAATTATATATTTTTTTTGTACCAGAGATTAAACCCAGGGGTGCTAAGCCACTGAGCCATAGCCCCCCAGTATTGGCATCAGATCAATATTGGCATCAGATTCACCATTTTAGGTCAGGAGCCATTTTATCTAGAGGTTCCAAAGTTTCAATTCTGAGGCAGTGCTGCTTAAGAACAAGTACCTGCTAAAACAATCAACCCCATCCAGCTTAAACTCATATGCAGTTTATGAGATTCTTGTGGGCTATAAAGCTGCTCTTTAAGTGCCAACAGGCTGCTGCTCTCCTTGAAGGGACAGCCTTGTGGTTATGCCTCCTGTTATGGACAATAAATCTCTTGCGTGATATTCTGGTGTGTGGCGTGGTTCTTGGACTTCACATGGACTCTGCAAGTGTCCTTTCACCCAGCCTATTTTATTATTTTATTTTGAGGCAGGATCTTGCTAAATTGCTTAGGGCATCGTGAAATTGCTTTGAACTCGGGATCCTCCTGCCTCAGCCTCCCAAGCCACTGGGATTACAGTGTGAACCGCTGCACCCAATCTGGTGTAAAGGCATTTTTAAGATATGATTAACAGTCACAATTAATAGAGTTTAAGTAAAGTTTTTCCTCAGTAGTGTGAGCTGACCGATCCTATCACTTGAAGGCCTTCAGGGCAAAGACAGGCTGAAGTGGCACACACCTGTAAACCAGCAATTTGGGAGGCTGAGGCAGGAAGATCACAAATTCCAGGCCAGTCTAGGCAATTTATCAAGACCCTCTCTCAAAATAAAAACAAAATAATTGAAGGTATGGCTCAGTGCTAGAATGCCCCCTGGGTTCAGTCCCTAGTACCACCAAAAAATAAAAATTAAAAAAAAAAAGCTTACAGTTTTTCTGAGAATAAGGGAATTCTGCCTCCAGACTACAAGAGAGATTCCAAGTTTCTAGCCTTTGGATTCAAGAGTACAACTCTTTTTTTTTCCACATTTTTAATTTGTGCATTATAGGTGTATATATTGATGGGAAAAATACAACATGTATGTGAATTTCTGACTTGCTAGCCCCTACAGCTATGTGAGCCAATTCCTTAAACTAACTCTATCTCTTGCTTTCTCACTCTTTTTCAATGAAAGATACATTCCTTCATTTGAGATAGATGGGCTCTCAGGAGAGAAAAAAAGAGACTCTTAGTAGATAGAGATCCAGATCTGCAAGCATAACCAATCATACTTGCCTCTTTAGTTAGATGAACAAAACCTTTAGCATATAGGTCAACCAGAACAAAAACATAACCAAGTTAAACTCACCACATTCAAAGACTTATACAACATGCCCACAATTAATTTATAGCTAGACTGCTTAGACAAAAAAGGAAACACTGTGAACCCCAAATATCAAATGACTGTCTTGGCATTTGATTTTCAAAGAAGCTTCCTTGAGAATCTGTGCAT